CAGCCCTCACTCTGTTTTTTGAGTGGAGAATTTGACCTATTTATACTTAAAGTAATTATTGATAGGTAAAGACTTTCTTTTGCTGTTTTAAATTTTGTCTTCTGACTGTTTTTGTATTTGCTTTGTTCCATTCTTCTTCTCTTGCTGCCTTCTTCTGTGATTTGAGAATTTATCTACCGTAGTTTTCTTTTGCTTGTAGTTCCGTGAGGTTTATATAAAATATAACTACTTACCTTAAACTGCTAACAGCTTCGTCTTCATAGAAAATGCTTCAGCTTCTCCGCCGCCCCATTTTGTTACTGATGTCACAGTTCACACCTTTTGTACATCATGTGCCCAGTAACAAATGATTGTAGCTCTGCTTAGAACTTTTTGTCTTTGAACCTTTATTCTTGAATTGAAAGACTTCCGTCTTTAAGACAAGCCAGCTGGGGCTTAGTGGACACTGGGGTGCGGTGCGGTGCGGGTGCAGTGTGTAGGTGTCGGCGTGGTGCTGTCGTTCATTGGGATGCGTGTGGTGCTGGTCCCGAAGTCCGTGGGCTGGGTGCTTACCTCACCGTCCTTCCCATGTGGAGGGCGTCTCTCTCCTGCTGCGCCGCCCCGTCAGAGGAGGGGTGCTGTGGGTCGTGTGAAGCTGTCCTTCCCACCCTCCCTCTCCAGTAAATCTTCTCCTACGTCTGTGCCCACACAGCCACTCTGACTGCACACTTGAGTGTCACGGTGCTCCTGTAGAGACTTTTGTACGTGGATAGCTGTTCAAGTGAGTGTTTCTGTGAGGGACAAATGCTGGAGAGCTTGTCCTGCCTCTTGCTGACCTCACTCCTGTGCACAGTTGCACGTCTCTCAGAAATCCCTTGTATGTGTATAGCTATACTGGATAACTGTACATAGATGTATGTTTGAATTTATTCTATTTGTGAATCTTACTTTTAATCTAAGTATATTATGAAATTCCTTTCACAATAAAGTATTCTTAATATGTTTTTAATGACTACATAATATTACATTATAGGGATGTACTAAACTTCAGGTAAGTAGTTTAGTTGTTTCTGCATATTTATTTTCTCATTACTACAAAAAGGGACTCCTTGTTCTACCTTTGAGCATATCCTTGCTCACTCATAGAATAGCATTTTACTATTCCTTATTAAAATCTCCCAGGTCATGTTATGGCACTCACGTGGGTATAGTAGTTGCTAATGAAGGAAAGAAACATGATGTCCTCACTTGCTCCAGGTCCTAGTTCCCTTTCAGTGCCTTTTGTATTTCATCATTGTCAACCAGAGCTATATAGAGTAAGTAACTAGTAATTCATCAGGAAGGTAAAGTTAATGAAGAGTTAATCCACAGCACGTGAGTGTTAGTAGATTTAGAGGTTGAATCAAGTCAGATTTTACATATGCACAAATGCATCAGGAATAATATTTCAAGTGCCATGACCCCTTTGTCTATGAAATGGATGTTATTCCAACTCAGAACTAAGGAAAAAAATCCTCTTGTTTTTCAGCAGTTGCTATCACCTGGTAATTTTTTTTAAGACAGGTCTTGCGATGCAGTTCAGGCTGGCCTTGAACTCACCTTGTAGCTGAGGCTGGCCTCAAACTCCTGGCAATCCTCCTGCCTCATCCTCCTGAATGCTGAGATAATAAGCAGACACCATCATGTGCAGTGCTTCAGCTGATAATTCTTAAATAGCTGTGCTTTCGGGATGATCCATAACCATGGAGAGAGGAGATTAGAGGTTAACAATTTGATCTGCCGTTCCCATGTACATAGATACTTCTTTATTTCTTCATGTGTTAGTTAATAAATTAATCACTTCAGTGCTGCTTTTATGATAGACAAATGAAGCCACAGTAAGTTATAGTTGAAATTTTACATAAGAACATACCTTTCTAAATGGTCTTTATGTGTCAATTTTTTTTAGATTTGGATCCTACAAAGAAGGACACAATTATGAAAACAATCATCATTTTCATATGAATACTCCCAAATACTTTGTATGAATTATTTAAAAAGAAGTCATTGACAGAGAAACTCTAAGAAAAATATGTAAGATGAAAAAGAGTTTAATTAAATAAAAAAATACACATAAAGAACCTCAATTTTCAAAAGCATGGTATCTCTGCAGTGGGAACTTCCATCAGTTTAAAAATATGTTGCTTAATAAAAGCATTTATTCAAATAATGTTTTCTAAATTTTTTAGTGAAAATTAATGTGAGCTAAGAAAAGGAAGTCATACTGTTGGAGGTGAAATAATTTTAAAATAACTCATCTTTTTTCATGCTGAAACACAAGACATTAAGTTACGTATTAGCCAAAGGATGACTTTAAAAAATCAAGCAGTCTTGAATGCTTTTTGGGACAAAACAGCAAAAAAGTGTTAACAGGTTAAATCGAGTTGTTAGAGGAATAATGTGTGTGGGGCTGTTACTGACTCAGCAGCGGCAGTGGCTCCTTCACCAGCCTCTCTGAGCTGTGACAGGTCATCTGTCCCCTCCCGCACTAGCCTCTGCCATGGCTGGACATGTGCGTCCCACAGTCGGGCCAGCAGGCTCTCAGGAAGCGCAGCTCCACGCACAGCAGGGTCCCGCAGAGGAACTGTCTCCTTTAGAACCAAGCAGGTAGGTAGCGGGGAGGGTTCAGCCTGACGGTGCTGCTCTGCAGGGCTAGTGATGTCAGCACTACCCAGGGAAACATATAAAGCTTTAGAACTGGAAGGAACCCTGAATTTGTTTTCTTTGGGGATAAGGACAAAAATTAGAAGAGTATATCCAGAGATTTTATGTCACCATCTAAGGGGCCTCTTTGCATTTATTTTAAAAAAATACTTTGAGCACACTGCTGTATGCAAAATGCTGGGTCCCCCTGGTGGTTTTGAAATGTGCTCACAAATAGTGTGTCATTTCCTTCAAAGATGGAGTCTGATTCACTCCTCTTTGAATGTGGGCTAGGTTTAAAGACTCTCTTGTAATAAAAAGAATAAAGTGAAAGAGAGAATGTGACACTCCAAGCCTTACAGAAACTACTGCGGGCTTCTGTCTTAGTCTTGCTGTCTTGGAGAAGGCGTCTGCATTCTGAGAAGCCTTCAGGGTGGGTGCTGAGCAACCAGTCCTCCTGCCGTAGTCGGACTTCGGATGACTTCGGTCCCTGCTGAGCCCTTTCTGAGTGTGTGGTTCTGGGGACCAGAGCCTCACACGTGCTGGGCGAGTGCTGTCCCACTGGGCTACACTTCCAGTGCCCCAGCTGATGTCTTCACTGCAAACTGTGGAAAGCCTGAAGCCCAAATCGACAGGTGCTATTTGTTGTCTTACGCCAATATGTGTTGGAGTCATTTGTTGACTACGAGTAAGTAATAGTATAGTAGCGCTTAAATGTACCCATGATTGAGAGCACCTTTGAGAATCTGGCAACCACAAACATACTCACCCAGTGTCTGTTACCCATTGTGCTATGCTAAACATGTGGTGGGGAGTGTTATTTAACTAAAAAAGACGTGCCATAAACCCCAGTGTGGGAGACAGAAAGACACAAAGGCAGTTTGAATAGTAATACAGAAACCTTCCACTAAACTAGGCGCTTTCCCAGCATTGTCTCTGGACAGCAATCCTCACAGGTGAAATAACCCAGATACCAGCTGGGGTCTGTCTGTCTTTCAGCTCTGGAGAAGATAGCCACAATCCCTACTCATCCCCATTCCACTCCCTCTAAAAGACGGCATTCCTTGCCTGACTTCTGTGAGTCTTGGGAGGTGAAGGGAGAAAGCCTCGGACTCCTGTAGTTACCTCCCTCTCTGATTCCTCACTGTCATAGTTAGTTCACATGTGGTCTGATACCCGAATTATCTTACTATTCAAGGCAAGTGCAAGGGGAGGATGCGGTTTAGTGCACCTAGCCGTGCCTGCTTGCAGCGGGTGCTCACTGCTTGCTACGGTCCTGGGCAGCCAGATCTATACACACACAGCAAGAGCTTCTTCTGTTTTATGACAGGCAAACATAACTCAGTTCTTTCCTTGTCTTCCTCAAAACAAAACACTCTATATGTTTTAAGTGGATCTCATATTTTAGTAAAGTCTTAGAGGGGTTTATGGTATAGAAACTCAAACATCTTCAAATAGAATAATGTCATAGTTAGTTTATTTATAGTCCTTTATTTTAGTCCTTTATTTTAAAAGTCCTTTATTTTAAAATTTTTTGTCTCCTTTCCGTCATATAGATTAACAATCTTTTTGCAGTTAATTCTATTTCATTTTTAAATTTCTTATTTTATTAGTATATGTTTGCTGCACATGAGGATTGCATTTATCATGTGAAGTTAGTACTTGTTCATAACACAGCTTAAACATTTTTAGGTCCTTCCCCTAGAATCCTGGTCCTTTTCTCATTTGCAAAAGATGTATCTCCTCATTCTCTATGTCCTATCACAAGCTTAAATATTGCGTGGTTTCTCTTACATAAGAAACCCAAAATAGGGGCTGGGGATTTAGCTCAGCGGCACAGTGCCTACCTGGCAAGCACAAGGTTGTGAGTTCAATTCCCGGTACCGGGGAAAAAAAAAAAAGAAACCCAAAATATAAATAAAGAGCAACATAAAACTAATCTCTTTTTTTCTCTGGTCTTCCACAATTACCCTAAATTTCTGTTAATTTCTAATATGAGTCTGGTTAACTCTGTTTTCTAAGTCTACTGTTCACTCTTTGAGCTGTTGGGACCTCACCTTCCATTTCAAATGGTGTGTTCAAATGTGAGATTTTGGTACATCTCTTGGTAAATGATTGAACAGGCAGAAATTCTAAATTACACAATTAAATTCAACTGAAATGACATATGCAATACATTGTCCCATGTAACTACAAATTGCTCATTCTTTTCAAGTGCACATGGAACATTTACCAAAACTGACCATATGCTAAGCCAAAAAAATAAGACTCAAGAGATGCTGACTTAGCCAGGTGTGGTGACACATACCTGTAATCCCAGCACTTGGGAGACTGAGGCAGGAGGATTGCTGTGAATTTGAGGCCAGCCTGGGCTAGAAAGTGAGTTCAAAGGCAGCCTGAAACCTGTCTCAAGAAAGATCAAAAAAACAGGTATTGAGTTTCTGAATTAATACAGAGTCTGTTTCCTAAGGACAATGAAACTAAGCTGGAAATAAATAAAAAGATAATGAGAAATCTCCAAATATCAGAAATGGATTAATAGATTTCTAAATAATCCATGGGGCAAGAGATCAAAATAGAAATTAGAAAATACTTTGAACTAAATGGTCATGAAACTATAGCATATGAAAAATTGTGGGACATGCTTTTGTGCTTCAGTGCAAATATGTAGTTTTAAGTGCATGGACTAGAAAAGAAAAGCAGTTGAAAATCAGTTTCCTAAGTACCCATCAGCAGAAACTTGAAAAGGGAACAGAAAATTCAACTTAAAAGAGAGTAGAATAAAGGGAACAAAGATAAGAGCAGGCATTAATGAAATGAAAAACGAGCAATTACCCTAGATAAAAGTTAATACAACCAAAAGTTGGTAAACCAATGAAACTGAAAACTCTTTGGTAGCACAGATCAAAGGAGGAGGAAAGTGAGAAGGCAGAAGACCGATAGTAAGATGAAAAAGCAGAGACAACCACAGAGCTTACAAACCTCTATGAAGAAAGTAAGAATTTATGAACAATCTTGTAACAATTAACTCGCCTCAAAAATATGACTTACCACAGCTGATGCAAGAGGAAACAAGAGCTATTGAAGGGACGAAATTTATAATTAAACAAATAAGTAATAGTCCTGAGCCATTTCATCACGCTCAGAGGCAAGAAAAACCAGCGTGAGTTCCATCCACCCCGTGTGTGTCGGGCCGTCCCTTTGGCTCCCTCGCCCTCCTCACTCTAAGCCCCTCCTCCTCTTCCTAAGCCTGATGTGCGGACCTCATGTTCCAGCTCCAAGGCTGACAACACGGCCTACAGAGTCTGCCTAATCTGCTCCCAGAGGTCAGGGATAAACTTTCATATATGAAGTCTGATAAGAATACAGTGAATGTTTACAGTTTTAAGATGCATTACAGTAAAAGATACTGCCATTCATTCCCCACTGAATACTTTCCTTCCTTTGAACACTTTTATCCCATCATTCTTGCCATTTTCTGAAGCAGTTCTGGAAGTCCTCTCTCATGAGTGTCTCTAGTTGGACTATTGTGGCTGCCTCCATGTCCTGAATTGATTCAAAACATCTCCCTTTTACGGTCATTTTGACTTTGCGAAGAGCCAGATGTCATAGGCCTGATTCAGCAACAGATGGATGAAGACACAGCATCATGTCTTTACAAGCCTGCCTTTCCACCATTCTTCTGGCCTACACCCATAAGCCTCCAGCTGGTATCTTGACCCAAACTTTATGGGAAACTCCAAGCCCCAATCATCTAGCTTTGCCACCCCCAAATCTTAACAGATATTAACTATTTGTTGTTTTAAACTACTATGTATTATAGTCATTTGTTAACCACCAATAAATACATAGTATAGTGCACTTAAATGTACTCATGCTTGAGAAACTTTGAGAATCTGGCAACCACAGACATATTTCAGTATTTGTTAGAAGCAGGGAGAGAGAGAGAGCAAAATAGAAGACAAACAGGAAGTAAGGATATCTTTTTCAAATGGATGGGGAAATAGATGGAGAGAGGTAGACAAGAGGGAAGGGAAAGAGGATGGAAAAAACTGGAGGGAAAAATGATGAAAATAGAGCTTTTGCAAAATGGAAAGGAGACTAAGCGTTAGGAGGAGTAGTGGGGAGGGGGAGGGAGTGAGAAGGAAGAAGAGGAGGAGGAGGAGGAGACTCAGGTGTATGATGTACATAATAAATGCAATCATTATGCACCGCAAACGTACTAACAATTAAAAAAAGAAAAAGGAGCAAGCGTCCATATGGCATTACTGCAGAAAGCTAAAGTTGGTGGAGACTGATAGGCAGTTGGGAAGGGAGGAGGCCCGAGACAGAGTCAGAGCAGAGATGGGGAAACCAGGACTGAGGTCAGGGGCTGAGCTGGTAGAATCAAGGCCCCTGGAGACACAGTGGCGAGGCCTGTGAGCCTCCCCAGAGATGGCAACAGCCCACAGCTATTCTGTCAGCAGCACCATCTGGTCCAATAAGCCTGGACAACATGACAAACACATAGAAACAACGTAATGAACACAGAGACGGATGACCAGAACACTCTGACCCTCACTCCTATGCATTCCAGAAATGCTTTGTTCTTCAATACATGCCTTGTTTTTCTATTGGATCAATATTAGCTAAGTGTCTGTACTTGTAACCCTATAGATTGATTGTAGTTTGACTCAAGGTACCCTGCAGTGTGATTTCTCTGTATAAAAACCCCTAGACAAAGAGCTCAGCAGCAGCCCACTTTTGCAACCCCTCCTGCCCCTGAGGAGGTTTCTCTTCTTAAAACTTTTCCTACTCCTGTCCTCCTCTGTCCTTGAGTCCATTCCTCTATGTTCTGAGACATGAACTGGGCACATCTAACTGGGTGGGAGTTACTTCCCTGTGACAATATGATGTTAAAAACAAAAAAGGGAAGAAGGCAAATTACCATTATTTGTAGATGAAATGACCCTTTACATAGAAGACTCCAAAAATTCCAACAACAGACTCCTAGAATTAATAACCAAATTCAGTTGTATAGCAGGATACAAAGTCAATATACAAAAATCAATAGTGTTCCTGAACACCAGTAATAAACTCACCAGCTCAGTATTCTATAGCCATGACGAGGAGGAGGCCAAGGAGAGAAAACAAAGAGACCAAGAAAAAGCAGCTGCTTTTGCTGCAGCACTAAGAGAAACAGACCCTAAGTCCGATTCTCAGGGCCCCAAGAAGAACTCGACGACTGCATTCATCTGCTACCACTGTTAAAAGCCAGGCCACCTCAAGAGGAACTGCCCTAAGAAGCCCCCTGGGCCATGCCCTGAATGCAAAGGTGACCACTGGAGATCAGTCTGCCCTCTGAAGAGGAGGCCCCAGAGCTCAGACCCATCCTACCAGTTAGTCCAACAGGAATGAGGGGCCCCGGGGCATACTCTGCCTTCTCCCTCTGGCCAGACCGTCATCTCCATGGAGGAGCTCTGGGTAATCATGACTATGGAGGAACAAGAAAACAGCCTGTTGCTAGACACAGGTGCAAGTCTCTCAGTCCTTCTTTTCAATCCTGGCCTTCCTTCCAGCCGTCACACCTCAGTGACAGGAGTCACTGGTGAGGAGGTAATAGGCTATTTTTGACAACCCTTAGGCTGTAACTACTTGTTAGATCCTTCTTGCGTATCTCTGTCTTCCTGAGAAGCCACTTTGAAGATACCACCATGTATTACAGCAGCCACTGATATTTTTGTACTAATCTGTCCATAACTCTGTAATGTTTATATTGTCCTGTGCTATTTTGTAAATGGATGTATGTTTATTACTATATGTTTCCTACAACAACCGTTGAGAATAGTCAATGAATATTCAATTGGTCACTCATGTATAGCTCTATTTATTTTCTTTAGAAGCCACTTTGAAGATACCAAGGTATAGTACAATAACTATTGATAATAACCTACCACTTTTGTCTGTAGCTCACTATTATTTGTCTATTTGTTTTCCTGAGAAACTATCTGGTCTATAACAATATGTAAAACAACAACCATTGATAATTTCCTACCACTTTGTCTGTAATTTAGTAAGCCCCCCTATTACTATGTTATCCTTCTTCTACTCTTTAAAATAAAAAGAAAAAATAAACTCACCAAGAAAGAAATTAGGAAATCAATGTCATTCACAATAGCATCAAGAAATATTAAATACTTAGGAATTAACCTAACAAAGGAAATGAAAGACCTCCTCAACAAAAACTACAATATTCTGAAAAAGGAGATTGAAGATGATATCAGAGAATGGAAAGATATCCTTTTTCCTGGATAGGCAGAACTAATATTGTCAAAGCGGCTATACTTCCAAAACTGATACACAAGCCAGGCATGGTGGTGTGTGCCTATAATCCCAGAACAAGGAGGATCCTTGTGAGTTCAAGGCCAACCTGGGCTACAAAATCAGCTTAAGGCCAGCCTGAACTGCATAGCGAGACCCTGTCTCAAAAAGACAATAAAACAAAAACAAAAACAAATAAAAACTGATATAGAGATTTCATGCAATCCCAAACAAAATACCAACAGCATTCCTTACAGAACTAGAGAAAACAATTGTAAATTCATGTGAAGCCAGAAGAGACCTAGAACAGCAAGAGCAGTCGTGAGCAGCAACAGCAAAGCAGGAAGCATCACAATCCCAGACTTCAAGTCGTACCACAGGTCAGTAACTTTGAAAAGCATGGTATTGGCAAAATCCAGACTTGTGGGTCAGTGGGACAGAACAGAGGAAGCAGAAACAACTCCAAGCACATTCAGCTACCTAATTTTTGACAATGGGACCAAAAACATATGCTAGAGCAAAAACAGACTTCAACAAACGGTGCTGGGAAAAGTGGCTATACACATACAGAAGACTAAATCTAGATCCATTTTTCTCACCATTTACTAAACTGAAATAAAAACGGATCAAACATGTAAATATTAAATAAAAACTTTTAATCTTCTGGAAGATAAAAATTAGGCAAAACTCTTGAAGACACAGGTGTAGGCAAGGGCTTTCTGAACCAAAGGCCACTTGCACAAGAAATAACATGAAGAATTAACAAATAGGGTCATATCAAATTAAAAAGCTTCTGCACAGCAAAGAACCAACAACAGTGTGAAAGGACAACCTATGGAATGGGAAAAACCTTTTTGCCAGCTTTTCCTCAGACAGAGGACTAATATCTGGAATATATAAAGAACTAACCCTGGACTCCCCAAAATAAAAGTCCTAATAAAAAAAATGGGCAAGTGAAATGAATAGACCCTTCTCAGAAGTAAAAATAACCAATAAATACATGTAAAGATGTCCAACATCTCTGCAGATTAGAAAAAGGCAAGTTAAAACAACTCTGAGATTGCATCTTACTCCAGAAAGAATGGTTATCATCAAGAAATCAAATAAAACTAATGCTGGTGGGGCTGCAGGGGAAAAGGAATGCTTCAACATTGTTTGTAGAAGTGTAAACTAGTACAATCATAAATCAGTATAGGGATTCCTCAAAAAACTAAAACTAGAAATTCCATTCTACCCAGCTATTTCCCTTCTGAGTATCTTCCCAAAAGAGTTAAAAACATTGTATTACAGTGATACACACATACCCATGTTTATAGCAGCATAATTCTCAACAGCTAAATCTTGGAACAGCCTATATGTCCATCAACAGATAAATTGGTAAAGAAAATATGGTATCTATACCCAATGGAATACTACTCTGCCATAAGGAAGGATGAACTTGAATTATTTGTAGGAAAACTGATGCACATTGAGACTGTAACGTGAAGTGAGATAAATCAGACATGCAAGCCTTAGTATATCTCATGGTTGTTCTTATATGAGAAATCCAAAATATAAATAAAGAGCAAAATAAAAGACAGGCAATAGTACACAGGGAGTTAGATCTTTTGCAAATGGAGAGGAGCCCGAGAGATGAAGAGGGTGGTTAGGGAGATGAGAGAAGAGGGTGCATGTGTTAGGTACGTGCACCAGCTGCCCACGAGGAATGTGATCATGATACACTACAAATGCGTACTCATAGAAGTTGTAATAAATAATGATGGTAATTCATGAGGTAAAGATCTATCAGTCTAGTATTTTCTGTAAAGAAAATAAAAATTAAATTTATTTAGAACATTTTGGCAAGAAAGTAAAACTATAAAAACTGACATACCAGATTTGAAAAAAACATAAGAAAAATTCTAGAACTATGAAAAATAAAACACTTCAAATTACTAACTCAGTGAAATTATTTAACAGCAGAGTAGACAAAAAGTTGAATTCATGAGCTAGAAGATGAGTCGGAAGAAACTCAGATCCAGAGATGGAGAGAAATGGGAATAAAATTTAAATGCAAATTCAAACATTTAATATTTACAAAGAAACTATCATTGTTCTATACAAAAATAAACACACATTTAATAACACCTTGACACCCCTGTACGGTAGTGTGTTTTGTGCAATTCAATGCATGCACCTTGACTGGTTTTAACAGGAAGTACCGCAGCGTCGTCTTACAGGAGCCCCTTTACCTTGATGTTCGTTATTCCAGGGCCGCCGATCTTCCGGGCCTCACACATTGTTGCGGTTGCCAAATCCTGAGGTAAAATAAAGGTCCTGACACGTTGGGTGGAGCGAGGGTGTGGCTGGCCAGTCTCCATGGTGGCCAGCACTTCTTAGCGGACCGGAGGACTGCCTTGGAGAAGGAGGCCAAGGCCTGTGGTAAACCGGGAGGGGTGGAGGTGTCATCCTGGGCGCAGGTGGGGCCTGCTTGGGAGACATGGTCGTGCAGCTGAGTTTGAAAACATGGTAATTAGTAAACTGCTGTAATCTGTGCGCCCCCAAAAGTACAGTAAACAGCTGGTTTCATTCTTGAAGTCTCTGAGAAAAATCTGTATTAGGAGTTAAATCGTTTCTATGGAAATTTGGGGTTCTTCATAAGGATAATACCAGCACCAATATTCTAAAATTGGGTCCAGGGTGATGTGAGTTTTGAGACCTAATTCTTCTTTAATTCTGGATTAATTTCTAGACAAAGAAAGTATGCAGATTTCTCATGTTTACTCTATTTCTCAGCTGAGTAAAACACTATGTAAACCTTTATTTTGGCCATAACAGAAACCTTCTAATATCTTTATAAGCGTTTTCTAATTTTTTGGCAGTTTTCCATTTTTTTCTTTTTAAACGCTAGCCTGATGTGGCATTTGGTTTTTTTCCCCATTCTTTTTAAATTTAAGATGGGAATTCAGTGTTTCTTTTTTGTTAAATCCACGTTATACTTGTTGTGTTACTTTTCAACTTCCACCTTGTACATGTTTTCATTGAGACATAATTTATGTACATCTTTTGGGACATATTATAATAATTTGATAAATATATATAACATATAATGACCAAAGCAGGGTGATAAGCCCTTCCTGGTCTTCAAATGCTAATCATTTTTATGTGTGGGGATGTCACACTCTTCCAGCCACTATGAAATGTGTGATAGACGATACCCTACTCTCCTATGGAAAACCAGATTTTTGTTTTGGTGTCTCTCATTAACGTTTTTGTCTTTCCCTCCCCTCTCTTTTCCAGTCTGTACTGGCCACTATTCCACACACCGCCCCCTCTTTATGAGATCAACTTTTTAGTTTTCACAAATGTGCATTCATTTTCAAGGGTACTGTTAGGGATAGACCTGATAATGTAGGGATCCCAACCAGGGATAGCAATGGCTTGCAGATTAAGGGAGACAATGCTATGGCAGAAAATGGAAACATCCAGACTCCTCCCAAACTTTACATTATACACACTATTTTTGTTTTGTTTTGTTTTGTTGTTCTTCCGGTACCAGCAATCAAACTCATGACCTTGCGCTTGCCAGGCAGGCGCTTTCCTGCTGAGCTAAATCCCCAGCCCCTATACTATTAACAGCAAGTATTTCCTCCCTTCTAGAGACCAGACCCTGTTCTTTGCTACTTGCTCTTCAATGAGTTGTCTTCTTAGTGAAATCTGGTACTTCAAGAGATGTCCTCCTTTCTCCCATTTCTCTTTGTGTTTAAATCCTAGCATACCTTTCAGATGATGAGACAGATTCTGAGGACAATGAAAAAAGTAAGAAAAAAATACAAGCGCTTATCTGCTACATTGGAGCATGGTGAATTTATCTTCTTATCCATTTGGGCCAGTGCAGTGGTTCCCCCTTTATTTGTTATTTTGTTTTCTATGGTTTTAATTACTTCAGGTGGTAATGTCACATTTTATTTCACATTATGTTACATTTATTAAATTGGTGAGAAGATTTCCGGGGTAATCCTGAGGATCAGACATACAGTCCAAGCTCGCACACAATGAAGACTGACATTCTGAGCTGTGCTTTGGAAGGTACCTAAAGTCCTCAGTGTTTGAAGACTTGAGAGCCGAGTCGTCTGTCGTCTGTCGCACATGGCTCATGGCCGGAGCCCTGGACGCCCTTCCCGACGGGGCAGCAGCTGACCGTCGCCCGCGTCTCTGCTCCTCCCTTCTTTTCCCTTCCACCCGTCATTAGCTCAGTCCCATCACTCCATCTGCACGACTCATTCCTCAGCCGCCTCTTTGACCTTATTTCTTCCTGTTACCTCGTGAATTCTGGTGCCCGCAATTGTGTGAAAAATCTACGTCCCGCTCTGGTGAGACGCCCTGACCGCGGGGAGCCAAGCCCGCTTGCTAGTTGCCTTGGTCACTGACAGTCTGCCTGGCCGCCTGGTTGGCTCTCAGAATGACCCCTCTCTCTCACCCTCTTCTCCTTCTCTGTTCAATTTCACCCCCTTCTTTAGGGTAAGGACTCCGCCTCTGCTGGGAACTGGAAGCAAAGCGCTGGGGACCCTGCATGTGACCCAGGACACTTGCCCGCACTTCAGCTCCAGTGACTTACCTGAATGATTAAATCAACGGTCTTCCACACTGTGGTGTGTGTAGTCCTAATGCAGCAAAGCATTCTCACTATATCTCAATTTACTTATGACAAATATGAGCATTACTAGAGAGCCATGTACTAAATATGAATAAAGCTTAATTTCCCTTCGATACTTTTGTCTCAACACCTTTCCTTTGTCCTTCCTCCCTCTGCCAGTCACTTTCTGAAGCCGTTGTGTCAGGCCGTGGATGCTCTGCGTGCCACACCTGGGATACAGGTCTGGCTTCCGCGGCAGTAGTAGTACTTGCTCCATGTTTTGAAAACTTACTAGGTGTCAGGATGGTATCAAGCCTTTAAAACGTCCCACTGAATTTTCATGGGAGCTCTATGTGGTAAACACTGCAATCCCATTCTACTGCTGAAGAAACCGACTTGGAGAGACTCACCTTTCTCACCGTTGCTGCTAGCAAAGGCAGGAACACCAGGCTCTCAGGCCCGGAGCGTGTCTTCGTCCTTATGTCAGTCTGCTTCAGCGGTGATGGCAAACATTTGTTGAGTGCTTCCTGGTGCTCAGCTCTGGACATTCCCAAGGACCAAGGCAGATGGAGCCTCCGTCCTCTTCACACTGCTGCTCCACTGGGCTTTGACCTCCCCGAGGCTCCCTAGGTCTGATTGAAAGGGGGTTGAAAAAAAAAAAAAAAAAAGAAAGGGGGTTGAAGTGGTTGATCATATTTTTTGGCTGTGTGACATTGGTGCTGAGGTTTTTTTCAAACCTTAAAATGTAATATTATGCAGTATTACAGCATATTTGTGATTCCACCGGATTTGTGTATTGGAATCATCTAATATGTTGCATTATCTCAATGTGAAAATGCCTATTAAATTTCACTTAATTTATAAATTAACTTTTGTATTACAGTCTCACTGAGAGTTTGAATTTCATGAACTCATTATTAAGGCACAAAATTATTAAAGCATTTTGGGACAATTTTAAGCAAGGAGCATGAAAATTTCAGATAATTAATTGGGGACACCATAATCTCTGAATATGCTTGTTAAAAGACTTTATTTCTTCAAAATACTCTAAAATGAACACAGGCATACAAAAGAAATGAACTCATTCTTTCAAATTCAATAGCCAAGTAAATAACTTAGTTACATAGTATATTTTCTTCTCAGAGGGTGCCTTAGTCTTCCTTATTCCAAAGCGCTCAATCTTATGAAAGTAAACAAGAAGTGGAATATATTTGTCTTAATCTTCACTACTGTCACCTGATGGCAACGGAACTTGCTTTACTAAATAGATAGTAATAGCAGACATCACAAAAATTTAGTAATGGAAACTCCAGTGTTCAGGGACTGCATTTATTCTCTTATATAATACTGATAATTATGCTGCTTGTAGTCGATAAGCCCTTTTCCAAATACAACTTCTTTTTATCCTCACAATCATCTGTTAAGCTAATATGCTGGTCATCTATGGTTAAGTAATGAACTCTACCTCATGATTTTGTGGGTTAGGTACTTTGGCAGATCTTAGTTACACAATCAATCCTTCTGCTCCATGCGACATTCACTGGGTCATACCCTGGTATTCGGGTGCTGGCTAGGCAGGACATGGCCTGGGCTGGGGGAATCCACGCTGATGCCATTCATACGATTGTCCTTTGGTACGCTGCTTAAGAGGCTGGTCTCACCTGAGACCCTTACTACTTTCTTTATGGAGTTGAATTTTTATGTGGTGGCTCAAGGGCTCCCAAAGCACGCATTCCAGAGTATTAAAAATGGAAGTTTCCAGAATATTAGGTTTGCCAGGCGTGGCGGCGCATGCCTGCAATCCCAGCACTCAGGAGGCTGAGACAGGAGGATTGTTTTGAGTTCGAGACCAGCCTGGGCTACAAAGTGAGTTCAAGGCCAGCCTGAATTGCATAGTGAGACCCAGACTCAAAAAAGACAAAAATAAATAAATAAACAGAATAATAAGATTTAGTCTCAAAAATTAAAATGTTACCACTTCTGCTAAATCCTATTCGCCAAAGTCATTGCTAAACTCAAGCAGCAGGGACCAAGATCCTGCATCTCAATGGAAAAGGTGCTGGAACATGTGTGGGCATTCTAACCTGCGACAGCTAGATTTCAGGAGGTAGAATTTGCATTTTCTAGAGGACAGGAGGATTAGGCCAGCTGAATAACTTGCCCAGATGGTGCCTCTGGTAGGTGGGGCCGGTGGGCACTACGGGGACCCCTGCAGCGACGCCCCAGTTCCTGGCAAGTTGTCACTGCGTGCGGAGGAGAGCAAGAGCAAGAGAGAAGCAGGGCAGTTGCTCGTGGGGAGTAAAAGACCACGAGGCAGCCAGCACCTCCGTATTTACTGATCACATTCACACTGAGGAAAATGGTGAGGGGGTTATGGGATGACTCGAAGGCCGGCAGTGATCTTACACTGGGAAGGGTCTCATGATGAGGATCACTTTGGAGGACTCAGAGGGCGGCGGTGATCTTAAACTAATCAGGACCTTACGTTGGTGAGGACAGTGTGGAGAGACGGCAGGTTAGTAAGTTTGTCCTTTCCCGCGGGTGAAACCATTTTCTTTATTACTACGCGGTTCTCAGGGAACCAGGGTGTCTTCAGCCGCTGTATTCTTGCCCTGGGGCGTCACAGCATCGCCGGACTGTTGGGGCCTCCACTGTGCCCTGAGGCACACGGAGCTGTGTTTCCATGTACCAGCCGGCGCATGGCAAGACACAGCCTCAGGCAAACTCTAGTCACAATTTGATCATGAAATGGTTTTCCCCCCGAAATTATACAGACTGGCTTGACAGGGCACCACCCGGGACCACTGATTCAAGGCCAGAGTGTTCTCCACCCCACAGGTAGAGTGGGCCCTTGCGTGTCTGCATTTCTGACGTCACATGTACTGAGTGCCTCTCTTTTCTTATGTAATTAGCGCCCTTGCTGAGGTGGGAGTGAAAACAAGGAGGAGAAAAGAAAGGCAAGAACGCATTGTCCTAAGACTTCGGGGTCAGGATAAGGGTGGCTTTGTGAGGTGCATTCAGTGTGTGTTGCTGGCTTAATGTCAGCTTGAGTTCTGAGCAAGCAAGGGCTCAGGTATGGAAAAAACACCATTTATCTGAGATCAGTGGGGGTGGGAAACCAGTGAGGGAATAAATGACTGTGGGCGACAAAGAATATGAATCATTCCATTGACCTATCTATACCAGTCAGTCCTGTGGAATCTGCCTTTTAAATGGAGACATTCTCCAACAGAAACAAGAATGTATTTCATGGCGGTTTTTCTGCGTGTAACAAATGGCCTTTCGAAGAGCACCTCCCATGACGTGACGTCTCCTCCATTGCTTGAATTTGGTTGGTCATAGCAAATCCCGGTGTTATCTCTGGCAGAGGTACTTTGCTTTACTAATAATCTATGTTTTCACTTTCTTTTACCTCAAAACATCAAAAGAAACTTCTTTTTTCCCACTGAAAAAACGGTGAATATTAATCCTTTCCTTTGCTCTTATTACAGGGGAGCCTACTGCCAGAGGACCCTTTAGATTTAAATTTGTGCTTCAAGTCTTTGCAAATACCTTTCCTTTCTTTGTCACAATGCTGGGATTTGTTTTTTCATTTTCACTGCACAGAAAGCTGCCTCAGTTTTCACCAAATGGCAAAAGCACTGAAGAGCACCTCGGAAGTCTGCGTGACGTGTGAGCAGGGAAGGGCCCTCCCTCGCACTCCTGACGGTGAAGCCGAACAGCCCACCACTTACATGGAGCAAGACTTCAAAGTTACAACAAAATTAAAGTTCAATCAAAGCATCATTCACTCTGAACATTTTCTCCTTGTGGATATCAAGTAGACCGTGTACTTGCAATGGCTAGAATTTCCATAAAAGGAACAACAGATTGCATTCTAGATTGCATTCTTAAAAGGCATGGTGGATGTTATCACAAAGGGAAAAGTGAGTGGAGGTAGAGAAAGATTAGAGGAGCAGAGTTAGCTGGAAGTGAGCACCGAGTGCCTGACCTCTGTGGGGACAGCGGTGGGAATGTGAGCTGTGCCCGTCTGATGCCACCCTCTTTAGCTCCCTTACTGGCAGTGCCTGAGGTTCGGTTGCTTCTCTGGACAGGAAAGCCAGGATGCCTCAGATTAGTGCAATAGTTTCCAAAATGGTCTCTTATTTCTTTGTCTACACGAGACAGTCTTCTGAGGCACAGGGGAAAATCATGATCATCATCACTGTTGTTGGTGTTGTTTTCCACTGTATTTTGAATTTCTATTTTCAGGATAGGTTTAGAGCAGTGCTCTTGGAAGGAGATCTGTCACAGAGTTCACAGCAGCTGGGACCCATTAGAAGCGCAAATTCTGAGTCCCATCTCAAACCTATTTTACATCTGAAGCTGTAGGTTTGGGGTTAACAATCGTCCTTTAAATCGGGCGTGGTGGGGCATGACTATAATCCCAGCACTCAAGGCCAGGGCTACAAAGTGAGCTCAAGTCCAGCCTGAACTGCATAGCAAGACCCTGTCTCAAAAAGACAAAAAAAATTGTCCTTTAACAAGCTCTTGGTATGATTCTGATACTCGCTAAAGCTTGAAGAATAAACTCACAGTATATACTGCAAACACACATACATGAGAGCATGCTTAGAAAATTTTACTTAAGATGCTCTGAAGATCATCTTCACACATAAATGTCTGAAGATGATGCTGTAGTGGAAACTGCTGACTCAGGAACCGTAGCGGCTCCCCTCCCCCATTTTCCTCATTTTGCTGGTTAACGCTGGGATGGGGAAATCATTTCGCCTCTTTCACTTTCTGGGTGAGCACAAGTGAGTTACTTAACCACTCTGGCAAATGAAAATGATGTGAGATGCCTCTAGCTCACAGGCTGTTGTGAGAGTTAAGTGAGCTCAGGTTTACCCAAAGCACAAAGGGAGCCCTTAGCACAAATAGGTGCTCAGTTCTTCCTTGTCTAGCTAGTTAAAGAGCCTGCAGCATCAGCGGTTTAAGTTCTCCGGCATGCTGAGGTCGATACATTACCCCAAACGTATCAATGTGTTATGTGACTAGAAGCCAAAAAAGCCTCTTATCATAACCTACATGTTCTGAAGCCTTGACAATAAAAGCAATGAAAAGAGCAGTGAACAAGGTTGTCTAACATATATTTGTCCTTTCCAAGGTTTGTGTGTAATTTTCCATTGAAATTCCAGGCTGCAAGAAATGACAGTAATGTGTAATGCTATGGACTATAGCAGTTCAACATCAGCGTTGTGAGGAACAGCTAATAAAGCCGCATTAGTGACAGGACAGGCATTTATAGTCTGACTAGGTATGCTTTATCCTAGCACCTGGACACAGCACAGTGGATGATGGTGGCACCAGCTGGCTGACGATTCTTTTGCTGAGTTTGCATAGAAATCATAAATAAGGAAAGTATCTCTTCTTAGGGTTAATAGTCCTGAACTTTGGACCCCAGTGGTTGTCACCTATTCCTGTTAGTAGCCCTCAGTCACTCTCCTGGAAGGTGGAGCAAGGAGCTACTGGCAGCCTTCGGGAACTCTGCTGGAGACCAGAGACGGAAGCCCCAAGCAACTCCAGTGCCCTCCAGCGTTGGCTTCTAGCCTCTCCCAGCGTTAGCAGCACCAGCTGTTGGGCAATTTTGGTT